TTTTGCCACAATTTATGTAACCATTAGCTTATTGAAAGACATCTGGGTCATTTCAGTTTTGACGTTTACAAATAAAACTGCTATGAATATCTATTAACATTTTTTCTGTGCATGAAAGTCTTCCTTTATCTGAAATAAGTGCTTAGGAGTGCAGTAATTGAGTTTTTTTTTTCCATTAATTTTTAAAAGAAACTGCCATACCATTTCCAGAGTGGCTTTACCTTTCTTAATTCCCACTATCAAGGTAGGAGTGATTCAGTGTCTCACCATCTTCAGTAACTTTTGATGTTTTCTCTATTTTTTATTACTATAGATGTATGGTGATATCTCACTTTGGTTTTTGTTCTCATTTCTTGTGCTGTTGAGCATCTTTTCACTTATTTGCCAACTGTCTTCTCTGGTACAATGTCTCTATGCTTTTGGTGTTGATCTACCTTTTTTCCTTAGCTCTAGCCCTACATCCTGAGGATTTATTTTGTTTTTTCCCCTCCCCCATGCCTTGGAAGTTTATAGTTCTGTTTTTTATATTTGGTCCATTTTGAGTTAACTATATGAATGAAGTGTTAGATTTAGTTTAAGTCTCACTTTTTGGTTTTCCTATGGACTTCCAAATATTCCACCATTTTCTTCTTCTTTTTTTAAAGTTTGTTTTTTTTCTCCATTGGATTGCCTTTGCACTGTTGTCAAAAATCAGTTGTCTGTACTTATGTATAGCTATTTCTGGATTCTCTATTTTGTCCCATTGGCCATGTGTCTGTCCCATCAAAACTGCCATACTGTCTTGATTACAGAAAGTATGTAAGTCATTTTAGTCAGCTTTTTTGTTTCTCTGACCCAAAACCTTGACAATAACAACTTGTAAGAAAAGTTTATTTTGGTCCAGTTTCCAAGGATCAATCCATGGTTGGGTGACTCTGTATCTCTGGGCCTAAGGTAATACAAAACATCATGGTGGAAGGGTGTGGTGGTGAAGAGTAGCTCAGGATGTGGCAACCAGGAAGCAGAGAGCTCTGCTCACCAGAGACAAAATAAACCCCAAAGGCATAACTCCAACCTGCCTCCTCTAGCCACACCCTGTCTGCCTACAGTTATCATCCAATTAATCCATACCAGTGGAGTAATCCATTGATGAGGGTCTACTGCTCATAATCTATTTCTGCATTGTCTCACACATGACCTTTTGGGGGCACCTTGATCTAAACCCTAACATAAATCTTGAACTGTTGTCAAAAATCAGTTGTCTGTACTTATGTACATACATCTTGAAGTCAAATAGAATAATTCCAGCCACTTTGTTCTTTTTCACAGTGGTTTTTGAATGTTCTAATTCTTTTGAATTGCCGTGTAAATTTTAAAATCTTGTTGATACCTATAAAAATTACCAGGATTTTGATAAGAACTGCATTAAGCCTGACTATCATTTTAGGAAGAATTAACATGTTCATTATGTTGAGTTTTCCTATCTATCAACATAGTGTATATCTCTATTTAGATCTTCATTTCATTGATTTACATTTTATTTTTTAACAGCGTTGTATAGTTTCACATACACACTCTTCACATGTTTTGTTAGATTTACACCCAAGTATTATATTTTTATTGTAAATATCATTGTTTTTAATTTCGATTTTCATGTGTTCATTGCTAACATATAGAAATATAATTGTTTCTTGAATATTGATATTGAATCTTATGATCTTGCCAAACCTCTAGGAAGATCACATTCCTAGTTGACATGTAAAGAATCATGTCATTTGCAAATAACTGTTCCTTTTTGAGTGAGTGGTGATAATTTGTATTTGAGGAATTGGTCCATTCATTCAAGTTATGAAATTTATGTGCCTAAGGTTGTAGTATTCCATTATCTTTTTGATGAATGCTCATTTTATGTCTGCTTGTTTTATCAATTTATTAAAAAATTTTAAATTGACAAATATCTACTTATGGTTTACAATGTGACATATTAACATGTATACATTATACAGTGATTATATTAAGAAAATTAGCATATCTGTCACCTTCTATAGTTATTTATAGTTAGAATATTTAAAATTTGAACAGTTGTGTGATACACATTAACTGTGTCACCATTCTATGCAGTAGGTCTTTGTTCCTCCTGTCTAACTATAACTTTGTACCTTTTAATCAGCAACCCCCTATCCCTCTACCTGATTCACAGCCTCTGGTAACCACTATTCTACTTTTTATTTCTACAAGTCTTACTTTTTAAGATTTCACAGAGGATGATCATGCAGTATTTTTCTTTCTGTACCTGAGAGAGAAGTGTTGAAGTCTGCAACATTAATTGTGTATTTATCTTTCTCGTTCCAGTTCTATTCTTTTTGCTCCATGTATTTTGTGACTTTCTTATTCAGTGATACACATTGATGATTAGCATTTTTTTTTTTTTTTTTGGTGGGTGGTGGATTGACTTGTTCTACAGTGTTTCTCTTCTACTGATATTAACATAGCCATTCGTGCTTGCTTTTGATTACTGCTTCCCTGATTTACTTTTTTATGTTTTTAATTTTCAACCTACCTATATCGATATGTTGGTGTGAGTTTCTTGTATGCAGCATATAGTTGGCCATTTTTAAAATTCCACTTTATTGAACTGTCTTTAAATTGCTATATTTAGATCATGTGCATTTAATATAATTAGTGATATATTTGATCTTAAGCCTGCTACTTTCTGTTTGCTTTCATTCTCATTTATGTTTTCCTTTTACTATCTTCCAAGGGTAACTGAACATTTTTTCAATTCCATTTGACTTTTTTTTTATAGTGGTGTGTGTTTCTCTTTGCATAAATTGTCTGTAATCCTTGCTCCAGGTATTGCATACACCTATCATAGTCCACAGGTGTCATAATTTTACCAGTTCAAGTGAAGTACAGAAAATTTAATTCTTTTCATCTCTTTAGACTTATCATTTTGTATAATTGCCTTAAATATATTCTATAAATATATTTAGAACAAAATCACAATTTTTGATATAATTGCTTTAACTATGAAACAGTTCAGAAAAATTAATAGGAAAAAGAATGCATATTTTATTTATCTATACTTTTGCTTACTGTGTTCTTCATTCCTTTTTGATATTCCAAGCTTCCTTCTTTTCATCCTTCCTTCTCTTTCATATATTTAACTTGAGCCATTCTTTTAGGGTAGTGTGTTGGTGACAGTTTGTCTTTGTAGGTAAAAAATTGAATACAGGCACATTTTAGATGATTCGGTGTAGTCCTAGTGAATGATCAGTGAAGGTCAAAGAAAAGGAAAACTGTGGAAATGACATACTGAAAAGGATAATGTGATGATGCATCATTCTTTGTTCATCCTATGTTCTGGTAGGGATTCACTGCATTTTAGTCATTGGGTAGTTGATAGACCCAACCTGATCTTTTATTAAAATTGGGAGCCATCTTGCCACAAAGCCATAAAAAGCTAATTTCAGCTTTACTATAAATTACTGCAAATTCTGAACCTGCTTGGAATGCCTGCCCGTGCCTTGAACTCACCCATGCCTGGCTCTCTGACCAGATAGCAGCCCTCTCTGAAACTTTAGTGACACCTCATAAATATTGGCCTTCCCTGGCCAGACAACAACGCTCTCTGAGGCTCTAATGGTCCTCATAAATTCTGATGTTGGGACCAGCAAAAAAAATTGTAAACTACCATTAGTGTGATGCTTGTCAGAGTTCTGTTATCTGTAACCCCCCTTTTGTGTAACTTGCTGGGCTGTAAAGCTGGACTGTAGGAAAGGTGGGGCTGCTATCTTCTTCCCGCCATTTTGGGAGGAAAGGGCAGCCCGGCCGGTCGAAATAATAAGCTTGCTTTAATTTGATTTTAATTGGAGTCAGTGGTCTTTTCTTGCATCCTGGTCTAACATAGTGAGATTAACACATTATGGTACATCCAAACAATGGAATACTACACAGAAATAAAAAGGAATAAGCTCTTGATAAGTGCAACAATGTGGGTGCATCTCAAATGTATTATACTGAGTGAAAGAAACCATAGAATACAAAATATATGATTCCATTTACATAAACCCTAGAAAATGCAAACTACTGATCAAAAGTATATTGGAGGCTGGTTGGGGAGGAGCCAAACAGAGGGAGGCCCTTGAGGACATTCTAGGGGATGTTAACCATCTTGATTATAGTGATGATTTCACAGGCATATCCATAGTTATTATATATATGTTATCATTCAAAAAAGCTCTTTAAAAATACCTTGACAAGAAGTGTTCCTTCAATGTGTGTCTTCTGTATAGTGCTGTAGCCCCACACGCATCTGTAAAATCCAGCAATTGCATGCTTGAATGTTGTGGCATTGTTGAGTTGCTCTGAAATTTTTGAAGTGCTCACTTTTAGTTTTTCAAGTGTCTTCCAATGAATGATAAGAAATAGTCTCATCTGTGCACTGCATTCTGATTTTCAGTGTTTTAGAGTAATTCATCCACAATATTTATAGTCATTTTTTTCTTCTTAGTATGGGGTCATTCTGTATGTATCATTCTAAAACCATTCTGTCTGACTTCATTATTCAATTAACCTGTGTTCTTATGTACAAATTCAACATGTATGTGATTTTCTTAGTCCGACTCCTAGCAAGTTAAGCTGCTGAATTTTGGAGTAGATTACACTGAAACGTTGGTATAACATTCCCCCTCGCAGACTTTTAAAGGAGTCATGTAAAAGTCTGCTGTACTGTGAGAACATTTCAAACTGTAGTGTGCTGGAGAAGAGTAGGGATGTGGTGTGGTAAAATCTGTGTCCTGGTGTCTCAGTGAATTGGATGGCCTAGTTCAGTTGATGGAACCTTTGTAAACTTCTGTTTACTTCTTTAAAGATGGGGAAATGATTTCCTCTAATTCCCATACTTTGAAAACATACTTTCTAAAAAATGGGAGATAAATTTGTGGCATGTTTTGCTTTTAACGTTATAATTTAAAGAACTGAGTGATAACACCTGAACTAATATGCTTTTCTCTTTTCAGGCAATTGCTCTCTTAACTGAATTAATTAGGGAGAACTTCAGGAACAGCAAATTAAAACAGTGCCTTTTACCGACCCTTGGGGAGCTGATCTATCTTGTAGCCACCCAGGTGAGACTGTCTGATTAACTCTGTTGCTGTTTGACATGTTCCAACACATCCTGGCTGACGAGTGTTAATATCCTATAAAAGTTTTTTTGACTTTTCCGCTTAGAGCATGCCTAAGGAACTTAGGAGAAACTACTTTTGGGGAAGAGTTTCTCAGTGTCTTTCTCTCTGACCTTGTTTCTCTTCTTCCCTCCCTCTCAGTGCCTAGTTTCCTTAAACATGTAGGAGATTCTCAGACCATATCTTAAAAATAATGAACTAAAAGTCTCCAAATTGTTCCCTAAGTTGTTGCCATCTTTGACTCCTTCAGGTAGGAGAAGACCATTGTTTCTTTCAAAATAGAGCCCCCTTTCAGTTTAAATAAAACACTACTTTGTGCAGGTTTGGCTTTTAATATGACTAATATAGAATGGCAGGATTTGACTTCTTGTTTCTAAAGTTACAATATGGAAGTGCTGTTGAACTCACCAAGAGAAAATTTAATATTCCACTAATGTTTTATAAAAAAACATTGAATAGATATTGATAAATTATGGGTTAGTCATATCATATGATACTCAGTTTTAAGCAGATACCGGTAGGTTTTAAATTAATAAGGAAATTTTGATTAAGTTTTTTGTTCTTGAACTTGCTCAAATGTTACACAACCTGAATATTATTAGATCCATATTAAACCAACTTTCTCAATAATCATCACTTTGAGGTAGCTACCAATTGTTATAAAATACGAATATTTAAAATATTATAATTAGTCTTGATAGTACAGCAAATCTCTTTCTTGTTCTTTCTTTACATTAGTGTCTTGGCTATTCCTGGCCCTTTACATGTCATAATACATTTTTGAGTCAGCTTGTCCGGTCTGTAAATCATATTTAAAAAAAAACAAAACATTGATTTTGCTGATAAATTCGAGGAGAATTTTGGGTCTTCCAGTAAATGTTAGGACTGGTACTGAATATGTGTAGCAATTAGGAAAGTGTTGCTATCTTTGTGATATTTAGTACTCTAATGCACCAAAAGCAATTTTTCTCCATATTTATATTTAAAAATAATTTCCACTAGCATTATTTCTTTCTTTTCAGGAAGCTTTTTGTACATGTTCAGTTGAATATATTTGTATGTAAATTTGTTTTGAAGAGCAAACTCATTTATGAACCAGAAAGCTAGAAGTAAGGTCAAGTGTACAGGGAAAAGTCTTTTTTTTTTTTTTTATATTTTTGTTCCATATCTGCCTAGTTTTCAAAGAGAAACTTTATGAATACTTTCTTATATTCGGAGTTAACTTTGAAAATACCAGCAAAAAGAGATGTATATTCTTGTTTTGTCTCATTTTTTGCATAGGCAGAAACTTGGTGTTTTCTCTTTAAAGATATGAATAGTGTATGCAGGAGGACTGCAAGTTTGAGGCTAGCCTCAGCAACCGAGACTCTTTGCAGCTTAGTGAGACCTTGTCTCAAAAACTAAAAAAGGGCTGGGTATGTAGCTCATTAGTATAGTGCACCTGGGTTCAATCCTCAACATTAAAAAAAAAAAGTATAAAAATATATGGAGATACTTGCACTAGAGCTTTTGCTTAGTCATTAACACAGTCCTATTTCTTAATCCGCACATGCAGCTTCTTGTTTCCCTCCTCTTGTAAAGGAACGTCTCCCTGTGTGATGCTCTGATGTGCCAAGTTTTTGTGAAAGGCACTTTTCCTTGCAGCTCTTTAGGGATGAGGCTGGAGAGTTGATGTCCACTTTGCCATTCCCTAGGACTCCCAAGGCCTTGACATAAAAGCTCAAATTTATCAGGTTTTTCAGGCCCTCAGAGTAAACTCAGACTTCAGTGCTCAGCATATCCATACCGTGCTTGGGATTCTTCAGTTTTTTACTTAGTCTTTATCTTCTTGATGTCAAAATAAAACCATTTATTTTCATTAGAAGATTAATCGGGTACGTAGTTTGTCATCTTGTCAGGAATGGGAATCTAGTTGTTCTTTTGTCTCCGCCCCCTTCTCTCCCAGTTTAATGTATAATGCTGTACAATGAAGTGTACATTTTTTTAAGATAACAATTTGATAAATTTTGATATATGCACATATATCTGTGAAACTATTGCCACAAAGATAATATACTTTTACCTGCAAGTTTCCTCAGCATACTTTGCTACTGCTGATTTGCTTTCTGTCATTCACACTAGAGTTTTATGTAAATACACAGCATCACATGTCTGTTTCTACAGTAGATCTGGAGAATGTTGTACCTTGGTGTCTATTTTTAAATTGGATAAAGGGTAACCTTTTTTAATAAAGGGATGATTCTGTGGCCATGACATGACTACATCTTATAGCATACCAAAAAAAGGAAGTTAATCCCTGGGTCTATAAAAATAGCGTTTAGTGAGGCAACAGCTTTTGTGGAATTATCAGGTTTTTGGTTATTTTGGTTTAATCCTTGTCAAGAGTAGTTTTTAAAAGGGAAAGGACAATTATCTTTCTATAGAATACGCAGGCACAGTGTCATACTTTGGGGCCCTCAGGAGGAACGGCCAGGGGTGCCTTCAACCAGCCCCCATTTCAGCCTCTGCTTCAGCTCAGGACCTACTTCCTAGGTCCTGAGAGCAGCCCCAAGAGCTAAGACTAAGGAGAGGGTCATGTCCCTCAGGGCACGTAACCCATGTCAGGGAGAAGAAATATATACCACAGAACACTGAGCACATAGGAGAAGGAGAGGCAGGCACCCCAAGAAGTGGATTGGCTGAACCCCCAACCAGCTGTGAAGGAGGTTTCAGAGGTTCTTTAAACAGCTCCCTAACCAGCCCTGAACACAGCTTCCAGAAGTTCTTTAAAAGAAAGTCATACAACCAAAAGGGAGGGGGTAGAGGGCAAAGGAGTTGCCTCATTTATACACAGCATTGTAAACATACGTGGTCTATAGTACATGTGCTTCAGTCTGGTGTTTGCATGTGTGTGGGAACTGTACCTCTGGAGCCTTGCCCTGTCTACTCCCCACCCCCACTCTACTGCCTGACCCTGGGAACAGAGGCATGGAAGGTATGTTCATTCCCCAGGCTTGGTGGGAGCTAGCAGGCAGGGCCTGGGCCTCAGCCTCCACTCTGGTTCCAGAGTCCTGTGTCTTATGTGTGTATGCATGTGCATATGCATGCAGGGGAGAGGGTCATGGTCACAGAGGCTGGGTCCAGGTGAAGCTATTCACTCACGGAAAGGCCTGCTTAGGTGGCTAGCTCATAAGTAGATCCTCCAAAGGTCTCCAGGTGCTGTGATGATATTGCACCAAGCTCAGAGCTTCTTGGCACTCAGGGTCTGCAGCCTGATCCTTAGTAGCTTATTTGCCAACATTGGATCTATGGGACATCAGTGTGAGCCCATACAGATAAAGGCATTTGTTTTGGTCTCCCCTATATAGCTGCCATTCAAGCTCCCTGATTCAAGCCTCAGGGCTTCAAACATAGTCACAACTGAATCTTCAGTTTGTTTCTCAATGTTGCTCTTAATGCAGGTCTTCTGCATGGCCTCCTACTTTGCTGCTTTCACCATTGCTGGTGGGTGGCATCCTGTCACTGATCCATTTAGAGAATTAGAGTGTGATGTGGATGCTAGGATGTCACCTTTTAGGACTGTGTCCTGGAGTGCTTCTCTTTGTGCCTTCACCAGGCTCCATGCCTTGTGATCACACCAGTCTCCATGTATAGTGGCTTCCTATACTCCAGAGTGTCATCCCCATCCACATCCAAGTCAGAACTACTGTCCAGTTTCTCTTTGCTGATGCACATGAGGAAGCCACTTTCCAAGAGAGTGGTGGCCTGCATCTGCTTCTGCCCATGCCACTTACATTCCTCAAAGGTGGTTGTTATTCACATGCTTGATTTCCATGCATTATCCTCAGCCATGCAGGAGCCTCCCCTTTTAGAAAGGCAATGCTCCATCTGCCAACTCGGCTCCCACACCAAGCATGCCAGGGGCCAGTTGCACAGGGGACAGACATACCTGCCCTGTGTTTTGCTTCCTCTGTTTTATTTTCCCATTCTGAGCATTCAGGTCTGCCTGTTTAAAAAAAAAAAAAATAGAATCTATTTTCCTATTTTTTTTGTGCTTTAAAATTTTTTTCACCTTCCTGTGTGGCACCTGATTTACTTTGATAGGTTGCAGGAATGTTCTTGTGGTGGTTATGGTAATTTGGTTAATCTTCTGTGAGACAATTGTGGTGATGTCATTAAAATCAGTGTCCCTGCTAATTACATTTGCTTATTTTTATTTAGCACATTATCTCACCTGGTAACTTATTGTCTTATGGATGTTACTTAAAGTTGTGTGTTCTCTGCTTTCAAATGATTCCAGATTTTGTAGTACCTTTTGGGTAGGGTTATTTGTGCTATCATATAGAATGGTTTATCAATAGAATGGTTTCTCTGTTGGTTGAACCATATTCTCATTTTTCAATTATTTTTAACTAGCTTTTGATGAGGGGAATCTTGTCAACATGATATGTAAAATAGTGGGAGGTAGAAGACATACTTGGTGTATACGCTGCAGTAAAAGACCCTTGATCTGATTGTAATTGTCAGGTATTAAGTATTAAGTTAAATAGAATATTAAGTTTTAGATAGTTCATGTATTTAGAACTGTGCCTCTTTCTTGAATGGGTTAATATCTTTTGTGCTGTTAGCTTCACTGTCTTTCCTTCTACTTCATTTTAGGAAGAAAAAAAAAAGAACCCCAGAGAATGCTGGGCCGTTCCCTTGGCTGCTTACACGGTGCTAATGAGGTGCCTTCGGGAAGGGGTAAGGCTCCTTTGTTGTCCTCTGTAGACACGCAATTGTAATAACCCTCCAGGCACTGTGTGAGGATTGTAGCCTGCAGCAGTGCAGGAGCTTGTCAACCAAGTATTGCTCCTGAATTTAAATAATCTTGACAAGCCACCCCTAGCAGGTGACCTGCAGTGGAGCAAGTATAAAAAAGAACTGGCTTTCTCACTCACTTGTTTAATGGCCTGATTTTAAAAAGATAGTAACAGATATAAACAACTAACTAGCTTTTAATAGCATGCTGTTAATGATGTACCCCACTTTAAGTTATTGCTACAGAAGTTTGGTAAGCAAGATATGTATAGAGAATTCTGTGAGCCTCAGGTGCCCCTTGATTATTTTGTCAGGTTGCCATTTTGAAGTTTTTTAGAAATGTGGAAGCTTCCCACTAGTATCCCCTGATTTTAATATTGAGTAGTATTTGTTATGTGATGTAATTTTTTTTCAATTTATTCACTTCACCTCTCTCGGCCCCCTTATATGCATGTTGCTCCTGTGTGTAACCATGTAAAGGACTTGATAACCCGCCTAAAAGGTTGGCATTCTGTTTGCTTTATACGACTTGACATTGTTTCACCCAAGGCAAAGCCATAGGCTAAAAACACTCCTTCAGGAATGAAAAAGACATATCAGGATAAACATCTTCCTTTGGCATTCATTACTTCACATATTATGTGATGACAGTTATGTTCCCGTTGTGGAAAAGCCTTCCAAGGCTTCCCCCTAGTGGTTGGGAAATGAAGTGGGAACACTTCTCAGCCTGTGGTTTTGAGTGCTTAGTCATTTATCACTATGGGATATATGATTGTATGATAAATCATACTTTATCAATAATACAAAAATTAACTTGTTTTCACTTACAGTTAAAAGATGTTTGGCCTCGTCATTCAAGGCCTCAAGCTGGGAGCATTTGTGTCACACAGATGAAGAAGGTGATTCTCACCTATAGTAGAGATGAGATAAAAATATAAATTGGAATATGTCAAATACATAAGTACAAAAGGAAAAGAAAATCAGGAATACAAAGGATGAAGGAGTATTTTAGGGATCTATTTAGTAGCATAAAATCTCAAAACTTTTTATGTTTAATTTTTAAAACTTGTTATTTCCTATTAAAAGATGATTATAGTCTTTGAGGTTGTATCTTGTTTCCTCCCCTCCCACTATGTTTTCTATGGACACATAATAGGAAGAATAATCTTTTATATCCACGTGCATTGTTATTAAACAATTATTAATTGTGAAATATCTAAATAGTTTTATGTTTTAGTAACACACTTGCTTTTTATTGTCTTGGTATGTACGAGAGGGCCCCTATATTTTTTAGAGGAGAAGTCTAAATTGTGTAGTCTATGAAATTTTCCATTTTCTGTTTGAAAAGCAGTTAAATATGCATGTTGGCAGCATATATGCTAACACTGTTCTTACCAGACGGATAAGAGAGGGTGATTATTTTCCCTAATAAAGGATTTCTATCTTTACAAAAATAATTTTGAGTATAGCAAATCTTGAAATAACAAGTTTGTCTAATGCATTGGGGGACCTAATTTAAGGTAAAATGATTTTTATGCCTTTTATCTTCAACAATTTCCAGTACTACTGGTATTTCTGAATGTAATTTCTTATGAAATATGGCTCACATACCTAAGAGCATGTGAAGTGTATATGTATAGTTGGAAACACTGTCACATACTCACTGTCTTGAAAAAAAGGGAGGAGTGCTGGCAGCCTGGAGCATTCTTCTCTGTCCCTCTTGGATTGCATCTTGTCCTCCTTTCAAGGACAACCACCATTCTGACTTTGGTAAACATCCTTAAGTTTTTATGATGTCTTTATCTTTGAGAGTATTGCTGAACATGGAATTGATTGGTTCTTAATCCTGAACTCTAAATGGGAATGGCACCATATTTTTTTTGAGACTTAGTTCTTTTGCTTAAAACTAGTTGAGGTTGATGCATGTTGATTATATAAACTATAGTTCATTTCTACCACAGAATAGTATGTTGTCCTTGGAATATGCCTCAGTATATGTTACCCAGTACGTATTTATGCTCTTACCAGCAGAATATTGCGAACACCCATTAGCCTCTTTCTTCTCAATCATTCCATATAGCCAGACTTGCAGTTTTTTGTCAACCCTGATGGGCATTAAGTGATTTCTGCAAGTAGTTTTAATATGTGTCTCTGTGAATGCTAATGAGGATGTTTGTGTTTTTTTATTCATCTGGTTCTGTTTCCTGTTTTGAAAAGTGCTTATCATATCTTACACCAGTAGTTTCCCCCCACTCCGCTACTTTGTGGGACTCTGTATCCTTGCAACCATTTATACTATAAAGTGTATGAAATTGGAGAACAGGAGAGAAAACAGAACTGTAAGGATCACCTTTATTTTCATCAGCTAGATTCAACAGTTTTAACATTTTGCCCTCTTTGTTGTAATGTATGCAGGTATGCATTCATATGCATGCATGCACGCATATAATATGCTTTATTATTTTCATACTACTGGAGATTGAATTCAGGGACATTCTCCCACTAAGCTACATCCCCAGTCCTTTAAATTTTTTGTGTTTTTAAATTTTGAGACAGAGTCTTCCTAAGTTCCCTTGGCAATCCTTGAACTTCTGATCCTCCTGCCTCAGCCTCCTGAGTAGCTGGTGTTATGGGCATGTGCTCCTGCACCTGATGTGCATACACATTTATGATTTTATTTTTTAAACTGGTCAATAAAAGTGAGATATCAATGGCACTTCACCCGTAGGAATTTTGTATGTATTCTGCATATTCAGCTTTTGAGGTTTTGTGTTGCAGATACTTTTAATTTGTGATCAGTCTTTTCATTTTCTTTATAGTATCCATGATAGACAGAAGTTTTTAATTTTCTTTCTTTTTTTTATTCTAGGAATTGAACTTGGGGCCTCATGCATGCTAGGAAAGTGTTCCACCATTGAACTATACACCAGCCCCCAAATATCTTTTAATGTAGCTAAATTTATCAATCTATTCCTTTGATGTGTTCTTTTTGATCTTCACTGATGATTCCCTACTCTGAACATCAAGATAGTCTATTATGCCAGGCGCGGTAGTGTACGCCTGTAATCCCAGCAGCTTGGCATAGGAGGATCTGTGTTCAAAGCCAGCCTCAGCAAAAGCGAGGCACTGAACAACTTAGTGAGACCCTGTCTGTAAATAAAATCTAAAAAAAAGGGCTGGGGATGTGGCTCAGTGGTTAAGCATCCCGGGTTCAATCCTTGGTACCAAAAAAAAAAAAAAAAAAAAAAAAGTCTATTATACTTAAATTTTATTTTTTTTTTATCATTTAGAGCTTTCATCTAGGGGTGTGTGTGTGTGTGTGTGTGTGTGTGTGTGTGTGTGTGTGTGTGTGTGTCTAGTTTTGTGTTTTGAAATCAGTATAGACAATAACCCCATGTCACTTGGTTGAAGTCTGTCCTGTCCCTATTGCTCTGCAGTGTCACCTGCATCCTATCAGTGTAAAGTCTCTTCCTGGGCCCTGCTTGGTTCTCTTGGCCTATGTTTGTGCCAGGCTATCAAAATTAATAGCTCTGAATTTTAGAGATTAAAAGACATACACAGGGGCTGGGATTGTGGCTCAGCGGTAGCACTTGCCTATCACGGGCGGGACCCGGGTTTGATCCTCAGCACCACATATAAATAAAGGCATTGTGTTGTGTCCATCTACACCTAAAAAATAAATATTAAAAAAAAGACATACACAAGAATTTTCACTTTACCAAGATCATCTTTTTTCCCCAAGAGTTTCTTAGCTGTTTTTTACTCCTTTTCATTTGCACGTAGAGAATCAACTTTTTGTGTTTGCCTGTTAAGATGTTGAGAATATATCTGTAAATTAATTTGAGGAGAATTAGTTGATATTGGCATGAAATGGAAGGCATAGACAATGAAAATACTAACAATGACAGATTTTATTTAAAAGACGAATTAAGATGACACCTGATTGAAGTGTCTTTGAACTCTTCATCACAGTCAACTAATCTATTTATTACTTAAGTAAACTGTGGTATATGTCCAGCTTTTTTACAGCTGAATATTTAATGGGAACATTAATATATTATGCCTTGACTGGAGGCAGAATAAGCAAAGTTTAATTAAGATCCTGCCCTGTCTTCATGTATTCATAAACAGAAATGTTATTTTTTAATCCCTACTTCTGTACCTGGCTTTTAACTAATTTGTTTTGAAACTTCATTAGCTTTATTTTTTTCTGGTGTGATTACTAAGCCATTTAAGACTATGAACTCTTGCTTTATCTACTGTTAATGATAGCCTATTATTTTTGACATGTATTGTTATTTCACAGGTAGTCTCTAGCTCTAGTTTAAAATTTTTCCTTCAGGTAGGGTTGTTTGAGATAGATTCCAACCACCTGAAAAAGTTTAATCTATCACCTTTGTCCCCACTTTGTTAAAGAGCAAAGATACATTACCTTATAGCCAAGATTGTGGTCTATTCCATTTTTCTCTTTAAAACTGTGGTTTTGTGGGGTATGGTGATGCATACCTGTAATCCCAGTTACTTAGGTGTCTAAGGCAGGAGGATTGCAAATTTGTGGCCAGCCTCAGCAACGAACAAGACCCTGTCTCAAAATAAAAAATACAGAACACCCCTAGAATCCATCCTCAGTACTAGAAAAAAAAAATTATGATTTTTGTCTTATTCTAAAACTAGCCATTTCAACCATTAAGTGTACAGTTCTATGACACCGGTATATTCACATCATTGTGCTTTTTCTCTTGTTTTTACATCTACCGAGATATTCTTTGGCTTATTTCCTTTTTTTTTTTCCATTTAAAATCTAAATGTAATCTGTATAAAAAAAACCTATAAAAGTTCAAGATGATGGATATGCTAGTTACCCCAATTTGATCATTACCCACTGTGTAATAGTTGTACTTCATAAAAATGTGCACAAAAATGTGTCAAAGTAAAATTGAGAACTGGGGTGTAACTCAGTGGTAGAGTACTTTGGCTTGCATGCATGAGACCCTGGGTTTCATCCTCAGCACCACAAAATGTGCCTCACTGAACATGAATCATTGATTCTTCTTTTAACCCCTTTTCCTTCTTTCTAATCTGATTTGGGACAAAAGCAGCATAGAAATTTTTATTGATATGTAGACCTCTTAGAAAGGCAAAGTTACTTCTAAATAATAAATTACCATGTTCCTTATTCATAGAAGGCTAGCTTTGTCATGGGATATTTATAAGCATTATATGAATGAAAGGTTTTCTAGCCAAAAAAGTTGGAGCACATTGGGTTAAGCCAGGCTGGACATGCTCATTTGTTCTTAGTATTTTTGAGAGCCTTAACTTGTACATCTACTCAAGGACCTGTAGGATGAAGTATTTTCAGTTGTTTGGCCACATACCTTACCTTACTTATCCTGTGTCGTGTTGTAGGTTCTCTGTGGAGAGGAAGCTGTACCTTAGAGACAAAAATAAGCATGTTCAAATAATTTTCAGGAGTTTTTTTTTTTTTTTTTTTTTTGTGTGTGTGTCTAAGATATTATGACCTTATTTTCCAAATAGATCAGTTTGCCCTATGGTCATGATTTGTGTAACGAACATGTGATAGAGGTATTAGATATTTTTGTTCTTGTTTGAGAGAAATGTTAAGATAGAAGCGGGTGAGAACCTTGTGATGGAACACACAAAAAATTGGGAGATCTGATCCAACTATTTAAAAGAGTGGCAGTGCGGAAGAAAGGCATTGGTGGTGATTCTGACCCAGTCCCACAGCTGCTCTGGTATTTCAGAGACTTAGAACTGGGAGTCCACAGATGTGCCATTTTCTAGAGGTCTGGAACTGGCCAAGCCCAGGGGACTGCGCTTAGCAGCATTTCCTATTAAATCGAAATAAAAGCAACTAAAACTAGTGCACAGGCCATGTGCT